AAAATGTTAGGACAAATCCCCTTTGGGATTTGCCCCCTCATCTTCGTCTTTTTCTCTTTATTTTGATATGTTGTGTGTCCAAATCTGACATCCGAGTCAAAAGTTATCTTGCTTCGAACATTTTTCGTTTTCTTTTCATCATAAAACTCTAATACACAAAACAACAACCTAAACCCTCAATATACAAATTACAACAAAAAAAAAAGTAGGATTCAAACACATAGAACACTAACTATAACAGTTTAATATCAATAATAATCTAGTGAAAACATTCAATTTTAACATAAAAGAGGATATGAGACATGTAGAACAACCTTAAATATACAAAAGATGTTGTAAAACTCAAATTTAATTGAAGAGAAATGTCAACCGCTATAAATAAAACACAATGAAAATATTTTTGCCACTCACTATGGTCGAAATGTACCTTGAGAAAAGTTGGTCATCGTCGTTGTTGTCATAGTCTTAAAAAAAACCTTTTTTTTGCGAAATGAAGAAGTGGGGCTAGGAAGAATAAAACGTGAGTTTTACGTCTGACTTAGAAGAGACTGACGTAAAAAGTGACTTTTACGTCGGTCTCTTTTAGGTCCGATGTAAAATTCGCGTCCACTATTTACAAAATTATCATCGCGTAACACGACTTTTACGTCGGACTTAAAAGGGATTGATGTAAAAGTCGCGTACACTATTTATAAAATTGTCATTACGTTATTTTTAAGTAAGTTATTTTTGAATTTGACGTTATTTAGGTGATGTAAAAAACTCATTTTACATTAGTGTAACAAAATGGCTAAATCTTTGCACACCTATGATGAAAAAAATAACTTTAAATTTGGATAAGTTATTATTCACACCAAAATCTTTACTAAATTATCAATTAGGTTCTTAAAATTTCTCACTTGAACACTAGAAGCATTAATTAATAAAAGAACTTGTATCATTTTACATACACGACGCAAAAGTTTGGGAGATAAAGGGTTTCGATGTTAATTATTTAATTATATTGTTTTTAATATTTTATGTTTATCAAAGTATTTATTTATTTATGTAAAATGTACTTCTACAAATAATCTTAATTTTAGAGGGAAGGAAGATGTTATCCAAAACTCTATTCCTTTCGTATAATAAAAATGGAGAAATTATGCTTAATTTCCTTGAGATTATGTTGAATAATACTTAAACGTTCTCTTTCTTTTTTTTAATAAGCCTCACCTCCTTTATATTTTGAATAAACTAACAATTGTATCCTATATAATTTTTAAAATACTCACTTTTTCCAATGTTGTTTAATAAAATGACATCCATTTTTTTTATCATTTTAATAAAATGAATTTTACTTGACTTTTTACTTGACAGAACCTTCTAACCATATGTCATGAAGTACCACAAGGAGAAGATGATTCTACAGGTAGATTATGATGAAATAAAGAAAATACAATAATCATTTGGATTAATTATGTTCTTATTATTAAAAATGGAGATTGCTGTGCAAATTAAAAATCAAGTGACACTAACTAAACCAATTATGTTATATGTATTACTCGAAAATATATATAAAAAAAAATATTGAATAAGAGAACATTGTAGTTGTATTTCTTGTTTTGATATTCTATTTATAAAGTATTATACTTGGCATCACAACTACCCTAAAAATAGTTAAAATACCTTAACTATCCTAATAACAATTATACAACTTTTTGGAATCAAACAAAATATTTTTCTTACATTATATAAATATCATTCATTCCTAAATTACAAAATATCACAAAAACATTTGGAGGAAAATCCCTTTATAAATAAGTATATAAGTTGGAATATAGGAAGTAGTTATAATGTTATAATTAAGCTTCTTGACGTTAATCAATCTATATATATATATATATATATATATATATATATATATATATATATATAAATTTTTTATATGACAGGTTATGAACATTATTTATAACTAATTTATTATCATAAAAGATATATCGTTTATAATTAATTTTAACTATATCAATTCACACACCTTGTGTCATGGTTCAAAATTCAATCTTATTACATTTTTTTACTTCAACTCACCAAGTTTTTACTCAAGAACATTCAATATCTTGAGGTGAACATTTTATTAGTAATAGAATTAATATGGTGTATATTAGTATATATCACCATATTTAATCTTTTTTATTCTTAAACAACACCCTCCTTCTTAGATTTATCTTAAAATTGAAGGATTCTACTTAAGAGTCATTCTCTTTAATCAAATAGGTTAAAATTGAATTGATTGATTATGATCATAATGTAAGTTATGTCAAATAAGGTATGAGTTAAGTAAATGAATTTTCTTAGATCCTTATTTACTTCATAACTCTTTTCATCATTCTTAATTTTGAGATTTTGTTTCATACGTACTATAGTGACTTACAACCAATCCAACCTATTTTACTAAAATGTTTAAGACATATTTATTTTAAGAGATATTGATGTCATTTTTTGAATAGGTAACTTTAATAATGAGAAATTATTTTAACTTTTCTTGATCTTTCCTCTCAAAATGACTAGAAAAGATTAATTTCCACACTCATCATCTCTTGCAATAATATATGATGAATGTAGATAATAAAAAGGGTAAATCTCCCTTCAAAGAAATATTTAATAAGAAAGATATGGTCACCTTGACTTTCTTGGTATCCAATAAAGACATAATTGTAAGTCTCCGAACCAAGCATGAGGTGACTTCTTAGTCCGTAGCAGACTATCGTGACCCTTTACACCTTATTTCATTCTTCAATAAATCTAAATTAATGTTTTTATGTAGATTTTTTCTTCTATATTTTCATAAAAAAAAAAAAAACAAATTATATCAAACTAATGTAATTTCATCTAAAATGTACAGTCAGTGAGGAGGTGATCCTAATTATATTCATTGTTTTTCGCAAAAGTTAATGTTTACTCAAATTAGTATATTATTTTGCAACCTTATAGCAACCCAATGTGTCTTCTGACCAATATTTCATAGTGTAATTTCAAAAAACAAGTAGGTGTACTTTAGACAACCATAAAAAAACAAATTTTGGAACTAAGGCATCTAGGATTTGAACGGGAAGTAGAAACCTCAAATAGGGTGTTCGGATAGCAAATTAGAAAAGATGTAAAAGACACAAAAGAAGAGAACATTGTAATTTTATTTCTTGATTCAAGACTATAAAGACATGTTCAACTTGGAATCTACTCTCTACCTCAATTACTTTGTAATAATTAAAGCATCTCAACTATCCTAATAATAACGAAAATGATTTATTGACATCTGCCGCGCCCAACACAACCCATTATATTAATTAAATTATAAAATTTATTATTTTATTTATATTTTTAATTATTGAATATATGTTTGGGTGGTCAAGTACACTAATCATCATTAATACAACTCTTGTAAATCAAACAAAATTTTCTCTTAATTCAACAAATCTTTATATTATACTCCTCATAATAATAAATTAAAACTTAGAATTCAAAAGAGTTTACAAATTATAGGACAATGCTATTGATCTTAACCATCATTATTTATACCATTCAGATGAGATCCGTTGATACTCTACAAGCAAGCCTCAGAGTTTCCGTTGACGTTAAAGTCCATGTTCAAAGAAGTAGAGGATGATGCTGAAAGGACTTGTTCTATTCAACATGGAAGTGAGAATCAAAATGAAATATTTATGTTCTTCCAAAATATGAGCACATCATCAACCTTGTCCCACTTATCAGGCATGCAACAGTTACCTAAAGTTTCCATGACTTACGTAAGATAGACAGCAGCATACCAGCCTTCAAATTCTTTAAATTCTGTTTCCATTTCCCCTTACAAAGCCTTATTCATTTGGATAGGAAAAAGCTGCCTACAGTGTTCTGTTTTGCTTTTCTTTTCTGATGTTCTTCATTAGCTAACTACAGCAATATACTTTCGATTGTGATGTTCTAATCTATTTTGCATTAAATGTTTTTGGTGTTGGCTTCCTGTAAAACACTGCAAATATTTGCCCTAAATATGTACCTAATGAAGAAGGATAAAACCTGCTCTGCTCTACATATATTCAGTCAGATATTTCTAGGCAGAATATGATGAAACTTCTTGCGCTTTTGTATCCTTTAAAATCTCACCTCTTCCGTTGTCTTTCTAATTTGATTAGCGTTTCCAATACAAACTTACAGAACAATCCATATAAACAATATACCATGAAGCGAGAAAAAAATTAACCGTTAATGAGCTTACTTATTGTGTTGAGTTTAATGACATCACTGATATGCAGCAGATGAGAAGAAGCTGATGATGGCCTCACCTCCGAGTCACTGTGAAGAAGATGAGAAGAAACAGGGACCTATAACTGTCTAGTTGAAGGAAAAGTGATGTGAGTGAAGTAGTATACAGGTGTCTTCTAACAAATCCACCACTTTTTTTCTCACCTCAAACCATACTTTCATCATCCTAACATTCTTTCCAATCCTCTCGAATACACTAAATCAAATCCATACATTCCACTCAAATAATTGAATAACCTTCCCTTTAAATGGTAGGCATTCCTCTTAAATAATATAAATTGGTTAAACCAATCAAAGAGTAATATTTTAGTTTAATACCAAATGTAATCTTATAATATACTATAAAAAAATTATTTCGTTTTACTGATATTACGATAGAAATGTAGAAAGGAAATCCACTTTTAATGTGCAGGACAAAGTGACAATTCATAATTCCAAGAATTACAGTATTTCACGTACCATATCCTTAACATAAATTACAATTACAAGATAGCAGCAGTGAAAGAATCATAAAAGTTGTCTGCACCTACTCACTTTAACACAGTACAAGATAAATACAAAAATTATGCTGTATGGCCACTACGTATTTTCTACTATGATCTACTGTGAAGAATTACTTCAATCAATGGATATAATTCCGAATGTTTTCCTTTGAAGTAACTCGAAATTCCAAAATCGCCCCAACTATCAACTCCTACCATTCATAGAGACTCTGGACTAGTGGATGGTCTGATTCTTGCTGGCATTCGCATAAGACCATGTTTCAAAGAATTTTTGGGAGTGATAGACATTTTGTTCAAGTCAGCGTTAAAATCAAGATCTTCAACGGTCACAATCATATCCTCATCAATCATATCTTTTGTATTCCTGTCAACAAAATCATCATCTGATACTTCACTGCCACTGTCACTGACTTCGTCAATGTCCTCCTCCTCCTCATCATCATATGTAGTTCTGACTTTTGACCAGCGAACAAAATGTGGTCTTATGTAGCTGGTGACAATTGGTAGTTAGAGTGGAGAACGAAATCAGAATAAGCATAAAAATTAACTAGATAGAGTGTTAAGGTCAAATAAGATAAATTCCCTTGAATAAAACTAACCTTTCACTCTTCTTCAACAAACATGGATCAAACGGAAAGAACATGTCAAGTCTATCCATACCGCCAAAAGCCTTGGAAAGATCAGACTCGAGAACGTCATTAAAAACAAATGACTCCGATGCCATGAAAAGTTGAGCAGCCTTTGCCTGTCTAAGAAATTCCACTACTACAGTAGGCAAACACACCTGGTAGATAAATTTATATCAATCTTCAAAGTTTTGTTTAAGAAGCAGCACAATGTTGCAAGAAAAAGTGTACTTCACCCTTTCAAATGTCACTAGTTAAAGAATAAAGAATATACAGACTGATTGGATAATCTTTTCCATAAATACTTATAAATAAGAAAATTAAAAAAACTGAAATAAACTTTGCATAAATAAAATTAGTTAATTCATAAGTTAAAAATAAATTATTTGGAAAAGTTAATCCAACAAAACTTCTATAACTTAACTGCACAAACTAATATTAAGTTTACCATTTTAAATTTTCTTCTTATTTTCTTCTCTTACAAGTACTTATATAATATTATCAAAACAGACTAAATCTTTCCTCATCATTTTATAAACAATATCCTACAAGATGTTAATCATTGAAAACCACGACTTTGAAAACCACGACTTTGAAAACTAAATGGTTCCTTACCTTCAAGGGACTCAATTTATGTTTCCAGATTGCCTCCATGGGCATATTAAGTAGCTGCAATTTAAGCCTAGGTATGTCCATCAGAGATCTCATGCGAAAACACAGAATATACATGATAGCCTGCTCACACCGAAAAAAAAAAAAAAAACCATAACGAACAAAACAAAAATACTGAAGAAAATGATTGTTGGCTACAACATGAAAAGGCTTCACCTTTACACCCCCCCCCCCCCAACTAAAATGGTCAAGTGTGACAAAACTCACCTGGCACCCAGAATAAAAAACTTGATGTGCTCGTGGGTTCATATTAGAATCACATATCTTGCAATAAGCATAACAATGATCAACCAGGCTGAAAAAAGACCATAAAATTTTATAACAATTTGCTTACTTTACTGCAAAAAAAAGGTAACTTAATTGGTCATAAATGAACAGTGGAAATTCAAAATTTTTCCAAACCTTTGTATTATGGTAGTGACCAATGCAGCCGGAAGAAACTTTGCACGAGCCAGATAACTAGCAAGATAAGCAACAGCACTCATCCTACAATGAAATAAAAAAAAATTACCAATTTCACATGTTCTTTGAATATTAATTATAAAAAATATTTACATTTGAATATCCATTGCTTTATGCACCGCATGACAACTGCCTTTCAGTCCAGTTACTTTATCATAACAAAGCATTTCATGACGAGTAGCAGAGCACAATTTTACAGAGGCAAGTTGCAGCAACTAGGACCACCATGTTGATACAGTAGCCCATTAAGCCATATAACAGGACATTTATTGATAACTAAGTTACAGACGTCATAAAATTAAACACATTAAGGCAGAATCAATTCAGCAAAATTTCAAATCTGCATACATAAGCCCCAGCCCCATTCCACCAATGTAGTTCATCATTGCCTGGTGGATTGGGTGAATTCTAATTATTAACACATAAGACAATACCTTGTAATAGGTGGATTAACATCAGAACCAAATATCTCTGTAAGAGTCATGCCAAATTTCACACCACATCCTTCAGGGTCCAGTGCACACGCATAGAACATCACAAACTGGAACAAAATATATAGCCCTCATGAGAAACAATTCTCAGAAATAGTACCAGTAAGAAAAAATAAGACAAGTTAGAAACAGTAATGATTAAGTAAACAACAGTACCTGGGTAAATTTTGACTTATATGCATTCAATACAGTTTTCCGAAATGAAGGTAGTAGAATATTGAATACCTAATTGAACATAACAAACAGGAATATTATGATGAAGCCATGTTGGTGCACTGTTAAAACATGTTGTGTGCCTTAATGTGGGCACCATGTGTGTAATTTTATAGATGGGAATACCTTAACCAAACGGCCACTACTTTGACAGGATTCAAGGTGCAAAAAAGCCAGCACAATTAGACTGTCTAATTTTTCAACAACCAGGTTATCTTGTTTCTTATTTAAAAACTCTGACTGAGGCTGTAAAATGAAGACAAGAGATTCATGAGATAACAGATAAGGAATACGAGATTAAACAACTTCAAAACAGACATAAAAAATGTATAAATAACCATAAAACAGGAAAGCAATACAGAGCCAAGGATAAAAATGAGATTTTTATAAACTCACTTCAGTCATTTTAATTTTCTAAGTACAGTTCCATCATTAGACCACAGAATGAACTTCCAAATAAATAATAAGAAGCATACCGTACTATCACAATTCTCATCCTCGTCTGCAAATTTAATAATATCCTCTAACTCCATATCAAATATGCCTCTGGCATCTTCTTGCAAGATTCCATCCCATCCAATTTCTACCTACAGCCAGTTTAATAAAACCATATGAATGGCCAAATGACCCAGCATTTCCTTGACAAAAAAGTTCAAGAGAGGATTAGGTAACTTACATCCAACTCTAACAACCTATCCACAACAGCTGGCAGCATTGTAGAACCAACAGATTCTCCAATTGCACCACTCTCCAGCTTTAGCATATTCTCAACATAAATGACAATCTCCTACAAGCAACAAAAAAGTGAACCCTGATGAAATATGTGTTGCAAAATTTTGATAAATAAGTTGCAGAATCTGTCCAGTCTATATCAACAAAATAATGTGTTTGTACACACTGTTTTGAAATCAAAATGCACACTAGAGTAAAAAGAAAATAAATGGTCACTGTACTTTGTGATATAAAAGAATTCAAGGACAAGAAAACAGGGTCTTAACGGATCCCACATAATTCAAAAAGTAAAAGTAAACAACCCTAAACTAGTCATATATGCAAAAAAAAGCTACAGATAGTTAGCAGATCAGACACAGATTACTGATGCAAAATTGTCAAGATAGAAATGTATAATGAACAATTGGAGTCAAGCTAATTGATACATCGTCACACAATAGTGATACACAACAAATTTACTTAGTAGCCTCTAGAGAAAATCGTATGAACTCACATGTTCGTCACTGAAGGCACTGGGCATTTTCTGGATAACAATTGGAGATAATCGCAAGGGTGCAAGAGGCACCAACTCAGCTATCTCTTTCAAAGCAGCATGCACCCGAGATAGAACTTCATTTTTCCTGTCAATTCTACTCTCGTGTTTCAGAGAATTAACGAGGTAAAAAGGCGGCACAAAATGTTTGACAAGCATCTCCAAACACCAATCAACGTATTTCCCATTAGAAGCAGCCTGCATAAAAATACACAAGCATTAAACTTAGCAAAAGCTGACAATTGACTCTATAATTACAAAGATCCACGTGACTCAAAAAAATCACGTACCAAAGATACAATGAGTTCCACCAGTGCATCCATAACCTCAGTTCCATAATTCCAGAGACTCATTCTTGAAACCTGAACAAAATCAATCATATCCATGAATCATCCTACAAGGAGGAAGAATTTGAAGTCCCAAACACGTCACAGTAAAATCTTACAGCAAAAAGAAGGGATTCATGATGAACAGAATCAATATAGGACACTGATCCAGAAAGCGCTTTCAAAGTAGTCTGCAACAGTATGATATAACATTACAAGATATGATTAGCACAACGACTTAGATTTAAACCCACAAAAACTACGCAACAGCTTTTCACATCGTTATGATCATTAAATCAAGAACCTACCACAAGTATCGCAACCTCATCAGGACCAATATTCTTCTTCGGGTGCAAATATCCAACGAGCTCATCGTAATTCTCTCTATCACCCTGAGCCACCACAATCCAACTTTAATTTCCATTGGCAACATAAGATAAAAAATTGAATTGACCAAAACCGATATCAGTTTCCAATTTTAAAATAGCTTACCGTTGCGACTGCAACAAGTACGCCTCTGAAGTGATGAACCAACTGCAAATCACTGAAACCATCATTCTTCATTACAGAAGATTCTTCCTTGTTACTAACCTGAACACTCATCATGCTCTCCTAAAACCCCAACCAGAAACCCTATCACACCTGGAACAAAAATAATAAAGGAAATCACAAAAATCATAAACCAAAAAGCGCAATAAATTAATAACAACAAAACGAAACTATAAATCAAACGGAGAACGCTTACAGAAGCGCGTTGCTGACTTCAACTTTAAAAACGACGACGTTTATGAGAAGGAAGGATGCGTGCAAAATGGCTGCTGCTACCTCTTGGAGAAAGAGAGAATTTGCGGCTACGAAGAGGAAGAACAGCAACGAGGGTATTGAGCAATGAAAACAATACTTATAATCGAAAATGTGAAATTAATTGTTAAATATTAACACTATTTCAAACATGAATTTCTATAAATAGTTAAAAATAAAATATTTCAAATAATTTTAAAAATGTATATAATATAAAAGATATAACGAGAATAATTAGATAACAAATTATTATATAATTAAATATTAATGTGAAACAAATAAAAAAAACTATATATTTTTTTATTTTATTTTATAATAGATATTTTTTAATAACGTAGCAAAAAAGAAAGAAAAATATTTTTGAATGTATTTAAAATAAGATTAAAAATTTAACAACTAGAAAGAAAATGTATATAGAATTAGATTAAAATATTGATAATATTTAAAATTTCTAATTGTTCAGTTATGATAAGTTCTCATTTAAAATCATTATCATTTATATTTTATATAAACATATTTTATTTTCTTTATATTTTGTTTTCACACTTTTTTTGTTTGTAATTTGTGTTTATCTTCACTATTTCTTTAATGGTTCCATCTATTTAGTATTAATATAAAAATGAGAGTAATGATATGTGAAAATTAATTATGTTTGATTTTGTGATAATTATTATATGTTCTTGTCTAGTTAATTATGCTAACCCATATAATAGATTATGTGATCAACATAATTGATTATGTATAGTCACATAATCTAGGTCTTATTTTTATATGAATATTTTAAAAATTTGTATATAAATATTTATTTTACATATATTATCAAATTATAAATATTTATATTGAGTTTATATTAAGTTTATTTTGATAATTTTTTATAAAAATAAATTATTTTTTTAATTAAATTAATTTATCATTAAAATAATTATAAAAATTATCTTATATAAAATTTTATTTATTATAAATTAAACCTATAGTATATAATTTAATAAATATAAAAAATTGCATGAATATTTAATCAATTTTATTATTTTAAGAAAATATTTTTATTAATAACATGATTTAATAAAAATTATTAAAAAAATAATATGTTTAATAATTGATATTTTAAGAATGATTCATTAATAACATTTTTTAACTATACTTTTAATTTATTATATAAAACATATAAAAAATATGATATAATTATTCTCTTAATCAATTATTTAATAAGAATATGTTAATTGATATAGTTTTTTAAAATAATTTAATTTTAATATATATTTATATACTATTGAAAACATATAGTTTATATAAATTTTCATAAATATTAAATTTAAATTTAAACTTTTTAATTAGAATATTTTATTTTAAAAATAAATTTTAATAAAATATCAAGTATATATAATAATATATAAAAATAATTTGTAAAAATAAATTTAATTTATTTATTTTAAAAGATAATGATATAAGAATAATTAACTTATTTATTTTATTAATATTTATTTATAATTTATATATAAATTAACTTTATTTTTATCTATCTTATTATAAATATTTCATATTAAATTATATCTATCTCAATTTTAATTTATATATTTTTTATAAAATTATGCAAAAAATATTTTAATATTCATCCTTCTATCTTATTATTTAATATTTTCTTAATAAAAAAATAAATTTTATTAATTAACATCTTTTTACTTATTATCGAGCCATAGTGCTCTCGAAGATTAATTATATTTGGTTTTCTTGTGGGGGAGATAGAGTATAGTCTAAAACAAAACATGAATAACCAAAATGAGTTTGTACAAATAGATAGGGCGATTCCCGATTTAGGATTTATAGTTAGACCCCTACGACCCCGGGCATGAGTCCTAGTTTCAATCCAAACCCAGCAATAGAAATTACAAAACAAATTAAGAAACTTAAAGGAAGACTAGCAAAACGTATAGCACAGAAAGAAAGGCTAATAAGAGAAAACCCAGCTAATTATGCTTGGGACATAACCTAGTATAAAAGTAATATTAAATATTTAAAAGGAAAATTAAAGAACCTAAGTCACTTTGTTGCTTAGTTTAAGTTATTAGGTGTTTAGATTTGTATCTTAATCATAAATCCTTGAGTCTAAAGAGTCTTTGGGACTCTTAACTCTTCAAAGGAATCTGTGTAGCACTAAGAGGTGCTTATACGTTGGTCAGCCCTTAGAACTCTAAGTGATTTAAGATTAAGAAACAAAGATAAATAAATAGTAGTTAAAACCGCAACAAGAAGCTTCATCTTCTTCATCTTCCATAGATAATAAAGATAAAGAATTACAAATCGCTGAGATAGAAAACTCTTTACATAATTGGACAATACCCATAATAAGAAAATGTGAAGTTTATAAACATCATAAATTTTGGTCAACAAATCTAGATGAAATACATATAGTAAAATATAGCTACCCAGGAACAAAAAATAATAAAATTATAAATATTTTAGAACAATCAATTTTAGATCAACACATAAAAGATGGATATAATTTTATTCATTTAGGACTAATACAAGTCGCAGAAGAAACCAAATTATAGAATAGGAATAAATAGTCCAATATTGATGTTATTAAGAGATATAAGACTTAAAAAATTTAATGATTCTATAATCGTTATTTTAGAAAGTAACTTACATGATGACCCTGCCTTTTTTAACTGTTATCCAAATTTTTCGATGAATATTAGAAATGATAAGACCAGTAATGCTATAAAATTATATGTCCAAATCCCTCGAGGAAATTGTAGACGAAGAATCTGGTCCAATACAAATAATTTACAGAGTTTATTATAAAGTAACTAGAATAGATTACAATTATAAAGCATTAAGATCTTCTCCAAAAGATGAAACCATATTAGTAGAAGTTAATCTTAGAAAATCATCAATACAGATTCCAAAGAGACTAAGTCATGAAGAGGTAATAAGAAAAATTCCGGAGGAATGGAAATTAGAAGATAATATAGAAGAACCAAAAGTTTATAATACACAAATTAGAGAAATAATTCAAGATAGTACTGATATTAGATTAAGAATGAATAGATCATTATCCTTTAAAAATAGAGAACCTCAAATGATATATAAAGGACAAACTTCAAGACATTCCATTGATGGATCAACAATAAATTTATATTTGAGAGGATTGAATAATATTATACCTAGAGTTACAAAGCCCGTATATGAAGAGTCAAGGGGAACAAAATCTCCTCAATACTCTCCAACTGCTTCACAAATATTAAACACTGTAGGAAGAGAAGCATCCTTTTGTATAGATAAAAATTGGATAAGACAAGATTTTGAGGTAGAATATAATAAAAAAAATAGAGAATGGTATTTTAAAACCTTTACAAAACAACAAACAGAAGTGTTTAGAAAAAAAAATTATAACTATTTAGAACAACATGAAATAAAATTATATTTTTTCGACTGGTTTTTTAATTATAGTCAAGAAAAATATATATGTCCTTTATAAAAGATATCAAATACTTGGAAAACTATTAATAATGAATTAATAATAGCAGAATATCCTCCACAACAGGAAATTATAATAAAGCCCACTAAAGATTTAGAAATTGAAGCAAGTCCTCTTATAAAGATGTTACAAGTGAAGAAAAACCAGGTACAAATAAAAGATATAAAAAAAATTACATTCCCAGCTTAATTACTCTAATACAGTATTAGAAGTTATGACAAAACAATTAACTAGGATAGAAAATAAACATCTAAGAGATATACCCAGTAATTCTAAAGAACCTATAAAGTCAATATATAAATTGTTCAACGTACCACAAAAAGAATTAGATTCATTAAGGTTAAAAAGTAATACAGATATACAGATAGAAGAATTAAAAAAGAAAATAGAACAAATAGGAAATACTTCTATAAATACAATAGAAATAAACAAAATGAGAACATATCCGAAACTTAGAAATTATTATTCTAGACCTACATTTGTTGAAGTACAATTTGAAGAAAGAGGAGAATTAGTTCAAAACCCCTTTTCAGGAAATGATATAAATGAATGGAATTTATATGGATTAAGTGAACAAACAATATTAGATTTAACTTGTCAAATGACCATGGCGGCTACCGCCCATAAATCTAAAGGATGTAGTGACAAGTCTACTGTTATAGCAATAATACAAGGATTTATCGGCCAATTGAAGGGTTGGTGAGATAATTTTTATACAGAACAAGATAAACTAGCAATTTTAAATAGCATAAAAACATATACAAATCAAGAAGATGCAGTAGCTACATTAATCTACTCAATAATACAAAATTTCGTAGGAGATCCAAATATATTTAAAGAAAGATCAGCAAGTCAATTAGCAAATTTATATTGTCCAACCATGTCAGATTATAGATGGTATAAAGATAACTTTTTATCAAAAATAACCTTAAGAGAAGATGAATTTGCAGGATTTTGGAAGGAAAGATTCTTAGCAGGATTACCTAAATTATTCTAAAAAAAAAGTAAAAACAAATCTAGAAAGTCATTATGGAAAACTCATATCATATGATACCTTAACTTATGGACAAATACATAATATAATTGTAGAAATAGGTATACAAGTTTGCACTAATTTTAAGTTACAAAATAAACTTAGAAAAGAAAGTGTGGTTAATAGAAGAGAAATAGGAAATTTTTGTCAACAATATGGTATGGAACCGATTAGAGCCCCTAGTGCTAGAAAAAAGAAAGTAATTAAAAGACAGGAAAAAACATATAGGAAAACTTATAGAAAATTTCAAGAAAAAACTAAAAATAAGAATATAGACTATAAAACTAAAATAAC